ACCAAAGGAGGGGGTGTGAGGGAAGGGGGCAGTGTGGAATCAAATAGATTTTTTTCAAATCAACCTCCTAAGGTTTTTGTTTTGTTTTCATTTTGCATTGCTATTCTACATTGACTCTTTATTACTAGTTTTGGGGTTTTTTTTGGTCAGTCATAGGGCTTGAACTCTGGGCCTGGGTACTGTCCCTGTGCTCTTTAGCTCAAGGCAAGTGCTCTACTGCTTGAACCACAGTGCCACTTCTGCTTTTCTAGTGGTTTATTGGAGATAAAGAGTCTCATGGACTTTCCTGCCAGGAGGGGGGTGGGAAGGGAGGGAGCTTTGAATGGCGATCCTCAGATCTCAGCCTCCAGAGTAGCTAGGATTACAGGCATGAGCCACTGGTACCCGGCTTAGTTTTTTGTTGTTTATTTTTGAGACATGGTTTTGTTATGGAGCCCATGCTGGCCTCAGACTGGAGATCTTACTGCTTCTGCCTCCAAGTGCTGTGATTGCAGGTAGACCAGCACACTAGCTATATTGTCTTTAATTTGGTATTTTTTTATTTCATATGAGTGTTCCATCATCAGCTCTGATGCATCGTTTTTCAACACTAATCAGCATTTCCAAAAACTTTTTATTAACTATAGGAAACCATCATTCTAACCAGTCACTTAACAATAACTTGGAAAAGTCTGTCCTCAGCCCACTCATGCAGCCATTCTTGTTACCAGTAAACCTGTCCCTTCCATTCCATTTCTGTTTTCCTTTCCGAATACTTAAGACTCTTAAAATTATAGCAAAGATTTTAGTTCAAGTAGGGAGAACTAGGGAAGAGAACACTTCTTGCTCCCCACAAAGCATACTAGGGCTTTTAATTCTGCACATTACCATTATCTAGATTAACGGTTACAATTTGATTATTTTCATCTTCTTTCAAGTTTACAAACATTGTATTCAATATGTCCAACTGGGTGACCTTGAATGAGCTAATCACTGTGCTTCAGTTAACTTACCTATAAAAAAGGGGTGACAACAGTACTTACCTAATAGTTTTCAAAATTAAGAGTTTATAAACCAGGATGCTACCTGTCATCTTAGCTGCACAGGAGGCTGAGAACTGAGGGTCTTGGCTCAAAGATAGCCTGGGAAGGAAGGTCTATGAAACCTTTATCTCCAATTAACCACTAAAAATCTGAAAGCAGATGGATTGGGCATGTGGCTCAGTGGTGGAGTGCTTGCCTAGCATGCATGAAGCTCTGGGTTCAATTCCTCAGTACCACATACACAGAAAAAACTGGAAGTGGCACTGTAGCTCAAGTGCTAGAACACTAGCCTTAAGCAAAACAGCTCAGGGACAGTGCCCAGGCCCTGAGTTTGAAGCCAGCCTGGGCAGGAAAGTCTGTGAGGCTCTTATCTCCAATAAACTACTAAGAAAAAGCTGCAAGTGGCATTTTGGCTCAAGTGGTGGAGAGATCTCCTTGAGCACAAATAAGCTTAGGGACAGCCTCAGGCCCTGAGTTCACAAGCCGAAGATCTGACCAAAAAAAAACAAAAACAAACAAACAAAAAAGGTTAAAGAGCTGTGGCTCAAGTGGTAAAGGGCCAGCCTCAAATGAAAAAGCTCAAGGTCCTGAGTTTAAGCCCTAGTACCAGCACAAAACATGTAAGAGGCCGGACACTACTGGCTCACGCCTGTAATCCTAGCTACTCAAGAGGCTGACATCTGAGGATCAGGATTCAAAGCCAGCCGGGGCAGAAAAGTCCCTGAGACTCTTATCTCCAATTAACCACCAGAAAACCAGACGTGGTGCTAGGGCTCAAAGTGATAGGGCCCTAGCCTTAAGCAAAAAAGCTCAAGGACAGTGCCCAGGCCCTGAATTCAAGCCCTTACAACTGACCAAAAAATAAAAAAAATATACATATACATTCAATTCAATAATTTTTTTTTTTGGTCGGTTGTGGGGCTTGAACTCTGGGCCTGGGCACTGTCCCTCAGCTCTTCAGCTCAAGGCTAGCGCTCTACCACTTGAGCTACAG